CCCCTTCTTTGTATGCTACTGCTACTCTCTTTTAACACATTATTGTATCTTCTGCACTAATATGACCCAATTGTGCAACTGCCGTAAAACTCTTACCAAAACCTCTCTGCTAAAACTTAAAAAGTGGGTGGGGTTGCTCTGGTGTGGTTTGTTCCTTCTTTCCTATCTATCGTCTTTATCTCCTCTCCTTTTTGTGTTTGTTACTCTCTTGTAACACCTTTAATCTTTGGCACTTATATGAACTTATTGTGTTGCTGCAAGTGCCGTAAAACTCTAACTAAAACAAACAAACTTTTAAAAAAGGCTTCATTCATTCTGCTGGGCGCACTGTGTGACTGTGAGTATGATTCTCGGGTTGCAGAGATATTTAACCGGGAACTGAGTACCCTCGTTTATGTCCTGTTAAATGATGTCTTACCCGGCCTTGGCTTGCCTTCTTGCGGGGCGGGAAGCAGCAAAATCTCAAAATTGAATTACTAAGTGCGTAAATCTATCGATGTCCACACTGTTGTTTTCGCATATTTTCCGTAATTTGTGGGTGGTTGGCGGGTGTTCTGGTGTGGTTTGCTCCTCCTTTCCTATCAAACATCTATCATCTTTATCTCCCCTCCTTTTTTGTGTTTGTTACTCCCTTGCAACACCTCTAATCATGACCGTATGCAATTGCGAGCGCCGTAAAACCCTCTACTTAAAAAAAATCTAATCTTCGGCACTTATATGACCTTATTGTGTTGCAAGTGCCGTAAAACTCTTACTAAAACTAAAACTTAACTGGTTTGGCTTACAGCGCGGGAGCTACCAAATTTCTCAAAATTGAATTAATAAGTACGTTTATCTATCAGTGTCCACACTGTTGTTTGGCATATTTACCGTACTTTCCTTTTATTTGTCAACACTATTTGAGAGATAATGGGTGGTAGGTCTTACGGCTTGTTTGCTTTCCCTGTTGTTTCTGTCTGTCTGTCTCCCCTTTTCCCCCGCACTAAATATAACCATTGGTGTGTCGATGTGCTTGACTTTACTCAAACAAACACACAAACACTATTTAGGAAAAAAATAGTAAAATAAATAGTAAATTGGCGGATGCTCTGGTGTGATTTGCTCCTTCTTTCCTATCAAACATCTACCGCCCTTATCTCCCCTTCTTTTTTATGTTTGTTACTCTCCTGTAACTCCTCTAATCTTCTGGTGCTCATTTGACCTTATGCAGTTGTGATCGCAATAAAACCTCTACTAAAACAAACAACTTGACTTTACTCATACAAACAAACATTATTTGGGAGGAAAATGGCACGAATTTGAGACGAATTCGAATTTCACTTCGCTCTCGCGGTTTTTTCCAACGCGCTCACTCGGATTTTTGGGGTACATTATGATATCTGTTTTGAGATAATACGACACTTTCACACTTTCATGTACATAATATACATTACATTTGTGTGTAAAGTATTTACAGTCAGTTATGTATATCTGAAATGTTAAATTATTGTTTTCACTGCCTGATGCGTGTTAAATAAGAGAAGTCCAAAACGCCCCCCCCCCCA